TCAAACAGAGCAAGAGATCCGATGTATGCTGCTGCTCATCAGTTTCCCCCTTTTTTCCTCTCTTTCCCCTTTTTCTTATTTCCGGCTTTTTTTTAATGTTCATCAATGGGGACTTACCCGTCATGCTTAACCTCTGGTTTATATTGAATCCTCCGAATTCTAGTATCAGTTTTTTGGGGGTAACAGCGTGCATGTTTCCTCTTAAACAATTATGTATGTTTTCACAGCAATGCGCTATCAAAATTGCTATCTCATTCTAGCTTGCAAGTAAAAGAAAACATGGCGGTGGTACACTACAATATTTGAGTGCATCCCCACTTCTGGCAGCGCTCTACATCACATTCCATGGTTAATCTTACATCATGTGCTCACATTGTAGGTTTCATCTATGGGGCAAGATGCTGGCTTCAAGTGCGAGGGTCATTCTGGATTGGGAGCAGGTCCTGAAACTTTGAAGGCCTCTTGCTGCACCAGTGAAGAAAATGAGAGTCGAAACAGAAGATACCATCAGTTGAAATGCTCAGAGAGCAACTCGGGGCAGTTACACCTGGACTACATCCCAAATTTCCACTGCAAGAGCTTGCCAACAAGAAGCCGCAAGACAAATGCTGAACAAAGTGTCATAGGGAAGCGTGGTTCTATGTACCAGAGCTCTAGTGAAATTAGCAGAATCAGAAAAATCCAGGAGGGCAGGAGGAAAATAGATTCTGTATTTGATGGGGATGCATTTCTGTCCTTTGATATTGTCGATGCATCCTCTCGCCCTAGCACAAGTGGAGCTTATCTGCACTCCCATCAGAACCGGAGGTCAGGTGCTAAGCCTTCTGTAGAAACTGCTCATAAGATTAATCGAGCATCAAAGGACTTCCTGGACCTTTCGTTCCGTGAACTTCCTGATGAGAATTTTAAGCTAGACCGACCACGCTTGGACAGTACCTTGTTGAAAAATGGAGACGATGGTTTCTTGGAGATTTCTTTTGAGAAAGAGATAACGAAGGGTGGCCCCTGCAGAAATGCAGCTCCTGTCTTGCTAAACACTGAGTCAGGTAAATGCACTGAAACGAATTACCTGCACAAGACGAGGGGATGCCCCAGTGAGAACAACTCTGCTGAGAGGGGGAGGGATTCAGCAAGCAGTTCCAAATCAACGCCTGTGAAAGTAAGCTCCTTCGATGGTACCTGTCAATCTAACGGTGTTCAACATCATATCATAGAGAACAACACTAAAGCTCGATCAAGCCCCTTCAAGAAGATGCTGGACCCTATCATGAAGTCCAAATCTCTTAGGAGCCCGTCTCTCATGGAAAAAGGAGACTCCAACTCTATAACTGGGACAGGGAGCAAGAAAAATTCCATGTCTCGAAAATCACTGTTGGGTGATTTTTCAAGAACTGAACAAGCATCTAATTGCCAGCCCAATGGACAAACGCAGCTTGTCAAATCTGCTTTGTCACCTGCTCATCTTCAAGCGGTTCTTAGATTGGATTCCAAGAATGGTGTACAGGTTTTTGAATTTTGTGTTGAGGGCCCAGAAGAATCCGTTTCCGCCAGGAATTGGAAAACTGGAGATGAGTTGAACTCTATATACACCTTCCATAGTGGTGGGAAACAATCCAGTGCTGCTGGAAGGATCTCCAAAGATGGAGGCTTGAATTTACCCCCAATCGTAGGGCAGGTGCAGGTTTCATCTTATTTATGCTCTGAAGTTGGAAAAGATGGTACGGTGAATAATTCTGTCATCACCGAGTTTGTTTCATATGATATTGCTCATGCAAGGAGGATTGTTGAGGAAAAGACTCAATGTACAGAGACCCCTCAACAGCCACTGTGTGGTGTCGTTGATAAATCAATCTCCGGTGATTCTCCACAGAGGATTAATCTGATGGAAGAGAACAAGATTGGGAGAAATAACTCCGATGTATCAACATCTTGCCCATGGTCTGAAGAAGATCTTTATCCTCATTTGGAGATTGCAGCAACTGTGATAGAGGTTCCATTTAGTAAAGACAAGTCCAAAGAAATGAAGAATGGATCTCCTTGTACTGTCAAAGTTGTTACACCTAGTGGACTGCATGGTTCACCTAGTGATGATGAAGCCAGCCCATCTCCCTTGCTAGATAGATGGAGGTATGGTGGGGGTTGTGATTGTGGCGGATGGGACATGGCTTGTCCCATTGAAATTCTTGGCAATGCATATGATAATAACTGGGCTGAGTCTATAACCACCAATGCGAAACATCCCATGGAGCTCTTTGTTCAGGTACATTGCATAGTATCCATTATTTTAGTAATTTATGACACGGGTGTTATGAGAATACTGGGGTGCCCCAAAGCAGAATCTATGAATGACTAAAATGTTTTCTAGAAGTAACTTGCTGCTCAAAACAATTATCCACTTAGTTTTTGCAGGAATTCTCTCTAGCTATAAAATTATTTGTTAACTATATAAATAAATTGAGGCTTGCTTATTGGCTGGCATCCTAGAAACTAAAAAATTTAGCCTTTGCAACCTTACTAACTTACGCAGAACAGATGCGTTGTTGGTCCCTGAATCTAATTTTGCTGGCAAGTATATGCTTACGCACACCAGATCACCGAGATGAGATCAGCTGTGATGTGCATTCTGATGTGTGCTCATTGTTGAAACAGGGTAGCAAAGAAGAGCTCCCTATCCTTTCTATGAAAGAGAATGGGAGAGGACAGTTTTTGGTGGATTTCCATGGACGACTATCAGCATTACAGGCATTTTCAGTTTGCATCTCTCTGCTGCACTGTTCTGAAGCTTCCATCGCCATCAGTCTTGAGAAGGGGAAGCAGAAACTGTATTCCAGCTCACTTAAGTTGCTCCTTGAGGAGGATGTGAGGCACCTAATCGAGGCAGTCACAGCTGAAGAGAAGAAGCAGCAGAAAAAGAAGCGGAGAGAAAAGGCACCTCCATCTGTTGTGCTTGACCCGCCTTTTTCTCCCATTGGAAGAGTATAGCAAGGCAGGGCGCGGCCGAAGCTTGAAGACCCATTGCGTGTAACATTGTTTACTATCTGTCTAGATTTGTCTTCATGTTCATATTTTCTTTTTACTGAAGGGGCAAATTTATGTTGTTCATAAGGATGGGGGTTGCATACTTGCATGTAGTGTTAGATTTTAGCAGGCAGTAAGGTCATAATGTACTGTTGAGACGTTGAATAGAAGAAGAAAAATAGGAGGCAGTTCCATGTTCCAGTTGGAAGAAGATAAGTGAATTGCGCACTTCAAATTTGCACTTTGAACTGGAGGTGCATTGCATTGGAACTGACAGTCGTGGCCATTGTTAATCTAATAATGCTAGTACTATGTGTTAGGGTTCCTGGAACGCAGTGCCCGTTCCGAGCCTTGGTGGTGTGATTTGTTTAACGGCAGTGGGTTTAGGCCAGGAGTAGGAGTTAAGGCAGTGCGAAATGTTGTCGGGATCTTGCGTGTTCTTGGCTCATGTCATGTACGTACTCGTAGCGCTGAAGAATGGAATCCTACGGTTTGTCTGGAAGGAAATTCTGGCCAACTGGATGGAGCCTCAAGGCCTGGCCTGACCTAAACGGAACGGAGTCTTTTGTAGCGTTGTATGCATGTACATTCTTGCTGGTTTGGGTGTAGTGCTACAAGCCAAAGGCAGCATGATTTGTACAGTGGCTACTAGTAGTATATAGATAGATGGATGGATGGCAAAGGCTGAAAGACAAACGCCCTCTTTGCTTGGCTTATAAGCCATACTTTTTTAACCAACGAATATTATTTTTCTCTCACAACAAATTAGTCAACAGTACTTTCAGTCATGGCTTATCACCTAAATGAACAGAGCAAAGGACAAAAGAGTTGGAGATGGTGGACCATGTTGACCAAGATTTGGAATTTGCATGCCTCTCAGGTCAGGTCTGATCTGACCACCTGCCTGCCTTTTGCTTTGCTTTGCTCTGTTCCCTGTTCCTGTTCCTGTTCCTGGACCTGGACAAAGAGTAGAGAACCCCAGCAAGCGTTTGACGCGGCTCATTTTTCCTTCGTCTTCTTCGCTACCGCAACCTGTGCTTTTGTTCGGCGAAAAAGGAAGAGGCGTTTCACTTTCCTGCGCTCCGGGATTTACCATACTTCTACTGTTTGTTTGTTCTAGTACTATGTTTGCTTGTTTTTTTTCCCCACACAGACAGTCACCATTTCTTTTCTTTTCTTTCTTTTTTTTTTAACTTTGACAGTCACCATCGCTCGTGATGAAAATAACCGATTTCCCCCTAAAAAAACGATTTTCCACCGACAATGTAATGTAATATAATACAATAGTAACCCTGCTTAAAAAAAACTAGTGTGGTGGTGGTACAGGTAGGTCACACACTCCCCTCCCTTGGCCTTGGAGGATTTGTTCATGTGAGCCGATCTGGTAAAATCGAAACAAATTTATTTATCCCCCACACCCACACTGCTAGATTTCAGTTGACCGACAACATCAAAAGAAAGAAAGAAAGAAATAGCAGCTGATCCGGCGATGTCAAAACCAGGGATGCCATGACATGACACTCGCAGTTCATCCAGGTTTGGCACTACTCAACCGACTACCAGCATCGAGATCCAGAAGAAGAAAGGAAAGCCCACACCGATTTGTTTCCGAGAAAGAAGAAAGGTCCAAAGCCATCCGATTGTGATCCAACAGCCAGCATCCATCATTTTGAGTAATCAATAAAATCCAAATTTAATTAGATTTATGAAAAATAAAATTAATATTTAGTTTATTATTATATGGCATGGTTAATCTAATGATATTATTTTATCTCATGAATGTTCAAATTTTATACTCCGTATTTAACAAATTTAAGATTGGTTAGCTTTTCCATGTTTGAGCATAAGATATGCTATATATTATTTATTTATTTTAGAACGGAGAGAGCACTGGTCCACTGCTATTAAAACACCTTTGAAACAAAGAAAGCAAAGCCCAAAGCAGCAGCAGCAGCAGCTATACAAAGATCAATACGAAAAAAATGAAGAAGGAAATAGAAGAGGAGGAGGGCGACGGCTATGGCGCCGCCATCCCTATGTCGCCGCCGTCCCTCGGTCTTCCCTCTCCGTCTCCCTCGGCCTCATCCTTCGCCGCCGCCGCCGCTAGGGTTTTGGCCCGGCCAATGCCCGCCTCGGTCCCAGGCCTGCGGGCGCCTTCCCCCTTCGTGCGGGCCATGGGCACCCGCGTCGACCCGCAGCCACCGCAGCCGCTCACGGCACCTCCTCGTCCTCGTCCGCTGCCACCACCGCCGCCGCCGCCGATACCGGAGAAGCGGCGGCGGGGGCGCCCGCGCAACTGCGACCGCCTCCTCCCGCCGCCGCCGGGCTTCCACCTCGCTCCGTCCGCACGGGCACCGCCGCCGCCGGCGCTGCCTGCCCACGGCCAACCTTCCTCTAGTAATCACTCTTAACTGCACTTGGTTGCCTTCCTAATTTGTTTCCTTCCCACTAATTTGCTAATGAATTCTGGTGTGCCTCTGTGGACAGGGGGGCATCCCTTTCCCGGCCAATTGGGTGGGCTCCAGCCGCACGTGCTCAAAATACATGTGGGGGAGGTATCCTTTGCCATCTTCATGCTTTGCTCTCTCTTCTGTACATTGCAGTGCAGCAATCCTTTTAGCTAGCTGCTAGCTGCTAGCTGCTAGGTCAGCGGGTTCTAGTCTATGGATTTGTGGAATGCTAACTGGATTGTTCAGTCTGAGCTTCCTGAGCTTGTATTGAGTTTACCTGTCAAAATTAGGAGCTTTCAGCGCTTGCATTCCACTTTCCTAAGCAAGTCATATCTGCAGCGATTCGGTGAAGAGAAATTGCAGACTGCAGAGGTGATAGTGTATAGCACTACCCAGGTGGCAATTGCTGCCAAATCAACGAATTGTCTTGTTTGCCACAACTGCCTCAGTGGTAGAAGACCATGTTCCTGTTCCATTTCTGTTCGCAGCAAGTCTTTCTTTTACTTGTGCTCGTGCAAGTGGCAATGCCTTTGTCTTCTAAGTTGCAGCTCAAGTACATTCTAGACACAAACTTGCATAACTTGAGGAACATAATGATAGTGTCAGTAACCTTTGTACCTAACCTGGCAAGGTTTTTAAGTCATCAGATTATTAGTTTTCGGTCATATGGCCGTATGGGGCATAGAACCATGGAACCCCGATCTGGACATCATAACTTGGATGGTTGGTCTAGTTGATCCAGGACACTGCCCAGAAGGCGTAGCTTTGTTTAGGTTGTGAGACATCACTCATCGATCTTGTTATGCTGTGGGCTTGATCATCCCAACTCTGCTTCTGCCCTTACTGATCCTGTTGCCTTTTATATGTACTTTGTGATCTACACTGCCCCAATTCCATAGCTAATCACTAAGTACTTGCTATAGTTATTTTCTATCAAATTGATGTATGGAATTTGATTATCTGAAAATAATTGCGCAGGATATCGTATCAAAGATTGTGCAAGTCTCAAAAATAATTGGGAAAGCCGTCTGTGTTCTCTCAGTGTTTGGGGCCGTTCAGGATTGCTATCTACTCCACTCTGCTGTCATCTTAAATCACAAGGTTTAAACATTTACTCTCTTAAAAAAGGTCACATGCCCAAAGTTTTTAAACATTGTTCATTGATTTCTAATCTTTGCAGGGGCCTTTAGATATCATTCATGTGTTTGGATCCATTTTGACATCTGATAGCCCTGGATTTGGGTGCTTATCTGTGACCCTTGCTTGTGGTGATTGTTCTGTTGTCGGTGGCGTTGCAGTTGGACCTCTCATAGCTGCAACACCTGTACAGGTACATCAAATGTTCAGACTTTTGAGTTATTCGATACTTGGATACATACCTGTGGAAACTATTGCAAACAGTTTCTTTAGTCTTTAAAATTGTTTTTTGTCTTATCACAGGAAGAATAATGTGAATCTATGTAGTTAATTTTTTCCTAATTGCTTCGTCATTCCATTTTTCTATATACATGTTGTGTGTTTCATACTTCCGTGAAGCATATATGTGTAAATAGTAGACCATAACCAACTTAATATTTGGACATGTGAATCTGTTAAGAATCGGAGAAGGAACTTCTTATCTGACTTAGCTCTGTTTTTTAACCATAGATGTAATGGTTCTTTCTTCTGAGTTCTAAGGATCTGTCTACAGTACCCCCGCACCCACCCACCCACACCAAAAAAGAAAAATCTAACCTAATGTACACCTTGCAGGCAATTGTTGGAAGCTTCCACAATGATGCTTTCCAGGCAAACAAGAAACCTAAGCTCATTGCGTACCCCAGTTCTCATGTTCCCACTGGTTATGGGGTCACACACACTGGCACTAGCTGCACACCTTACCTCAGTTCGCAGGTTGCCGTTGGCACTGGGAGCATGTGTTGCGTCAATTCTAAGGCTACCATTGGCAGTTGGAGAAAACATGATCCTAGTTTTTGGTTTCCCATTGGCAATGGAAGCACAAATCGTTCCAATTCTCAAGTTATTGTTGGCGATGGAAGCACACATCACCCCAATTCTCATGTTATTGTTGGCAATGGAAGCACACGTCACCCTAATACACAGGTTACCATTGACACTAGGAGCACACGCTGCCTCAGTTTTGAGGTTGGCATTGGCCATTGGAGTAAACATGATCCCAGTTCTTGGTTTCCCATTGGCGTTGGGAGCACAAATCACTCCAATTTTCAAGTTACTGTTGGTGATGGAAGCACACATCACCCCAGTTCTCAAGTTACCGTAGGTACTGGGAGCACACAATACCCAAGCTCCCAGGTTCCCATTGGCAATGGGAGCACATATCAATCTGATTCTCATGTCACAAAGGGTGACAGAAGCACAAGTATCACCAATTCTCAGGCTACTGTTGGCTATGGGATTAAACATCAAGACAATTCCCATGTCACTGTTGGCAACGGGAGCACAAGTAACGTCAATTCTAAGGATATTGTTGGTCATGGAAGCACACATTACCCTGAGTCTCTGCCTGCCGTTGGCAATGGGAGCATGAATAACGCCAATTCTGAGGTCGCGGTAGGAGATGGGAGCACAAATAAGGGCAATTCGCAGGATACCCTTGTTGATGGGAACACGAATTGCCCCAGTTCTAAGGTTTCTGTTGGCAACGGGAGCTCCAGTTACCCCAATTCTAAGGTTGCTGTTGGCGATAGGAGCGCTCCACCCTCTGAAGGAACATGGTGGACCGAGTGAGATCGATGTGAAGCCCTCGCAAGTGATGGCTTAACTTAGCAACACTTTAGGTGATTTAACTCAGCCAGCATTATGTTTTCCTCTGAAGACAATAGAGATGTTCATGTCGTGGACATCAAAGATGTTATGCTTTTGTGGATGACCAAAGTATCTCTTGGGGTTGTAGGAAGTTTAGTCCAGCAGCAGTTGCGTTCTTTGTAGGGACATTGTAGTGTTGGGTTTCCCAACTGAGAGTTGCGGTGCAGTTTGTTATAGCTTTAATTGCTAACAGTGTTAGATTTGTGCTGAGGTGTATCAGATCAGAAACTTTAGCATAGCCGAAGGGTTCTTTGTGCTGAATTGAGCTTTCAATATATATACGATGATCTTTATTACAAAGGCAGTTGGTGAAAAGGGCATACCTGGTGCAGTAAGCAGAATCAAGGCTCGGCTGCAACAGAAACTGATCATGTGAGTATATGAGAGATGCCATGCCATTAAACCAATGTGTTGAAATTGAATGTTTGTACTAGGTAGAAAGATGCGATATGTTTAGTTAGTCGCTGTTGTTTTTCTGTCTGTAACTTTGGGACGGTCGGCTCGGCTGGGTCAGTGATGCAGCCAGCCGTGGAGTGGAGTGAATGAAAACTCTTGTGTGGTAAGGTAATTATTACTCCATTATTTATCTTGGTAGAAGTCTAGCCTGCTGAGTGGGCCACGAATTTGCCCGGTGTCAGCTAATGGGCCGCTTGATTTAGGAGGGCCTTGTTTAGATAAGCTAGTGTGTCCTCTGGCTGCTTTGCCTCGAAGCAGCGGTGTGTATTTGGTCTAAGGAACACAGGAGAGTCCATTAATTTCTCATTCCTCACCTTTTTATAGTTCATGGAACACAATGAATTGATGTATCATCATATCATTTCCCATAAGCTGAATCGCAAGTCCTGAAAAAAACTTAAAATTTTGAGATATCTAAACAAGACGTGGTACATGACCCTCGAAGGCACAGACGTAGTACAGAAGAAACAACATAGCACTAGGTACAGTCACTGCTTACATGACCCTCGAAGGCGCTGGGCGTTAGATTTGGACAGATCGAATCATCAGAGATAAAAAAAAAATGAATACCGGAACTAATTAACAGGGGAGGGCATACACCATGTGATGTCACAGCCTCGCAACGCACTAGAAGAAACAAGATAAGGGCATGTTTGGTTCCTTTTCCTCCTCCTAAAATACCTGTTACATCGAATATTTGGACACATGCATAGAGTATTAAATATAGACTAATTACGAAACTAATTACATAACTTATGATTAATTTGCGAGGCGAATCTTTTAAGCCTAATTAGTTCATGATTTGACAACGTTGTGCTACAGTAAACATGTACTAATGATAGATTAATTAGGCTTAAAAAAATCGTCTCAAAAATTAGCCTCCGTCTATGTAATTGTTTTGTAATTAATTTATATTTAATGTTCTTTATTAGTCTCTAAACATTTTATATAACATAAATTTTAGGAGTGACTAAAGAACCAAACTCTAAAAAGACGGTGACGCACATCTGAGTGAGAATCTCTAATACTAGTAAGACCGGTCAAAACATGGGACACTAGAATTTGCAGGTCCTAGCTGGATGTGCTTATCAAAGGAAATGGCTTTTCTGATCTGACAGTTGTTGAATGGACACATGCAGTGCACATGCATGAGCAGCCGACCACCAGTCAATGCTGGGCGGCATGTGATGTGCCAGCCATCCCACCCACCGAGACACCTCCCACTACCAACAGCAACGCAACGGGGAGACAGGAGCTAGAGAGAGATCAGAGATCCAAGACAGACAGGGAGGGAGGGATCCCCACGAGCCACAAACACTCGTAAATCCATCTTCCTGCAACTTTGCAAGAGGACAGTAAAAATCACTCTCTGAAAGGATAGGAATCGGGTAGGAGTACTAAGCACAACTTTGCAAGATGACACAGAACAGCATAGGCAACATCATGCCCACAAACAGAACAAGTTTCAGCCGCACGGACAGTAAATCACAATCAGGGCGTGATTTACAACTAATTTTTTTGCAATTAGTTACTTTTTTTACCTACATTTAATGCTCCATGCATGCGTCCAAAAATTAATGTGATGGAAAGAGAGTGAAAAAACTTGAAACTTTGATGTAATCTAAACAAGGCCTACAACTTTGCAAGATGACACAGAGGCGTTGTTTTTTTTTTAAATTGGTTGAAACTGCGTATGTTTTGTGAGAGATAAATCTTTGTGATGTTTGGTTAATAAATAGTGTTGGCTGAGAGAATCAATTTTGGATTTTGATGAACACTAAACAGCATAGGCAACATCATGCCCACAAACAGAACAAGTTTCAGCCACACGGACAGTAAATTACAATCAAGCCCCGTTTAGATTCAAAATTTTAGATTTTGGCTACTGTAGCACTTTTGCTTGTATTTGGTAATTAGTGTCTAATTATGGACTAATTAGGTTCAAAAGTTTTGTCTCGCAATTTCTCACCTAACTGTGCAATTAGTTATTTTTTTTTTAAAATTTTAATCTTACACATGTACACAAGATTCGATTAACATGGTACGAAGTTTAAAAATTTCACTTCGGATGAAAAATCACACATGGCTAACGCAGCACAAGCAGCAGAGAGATCAAGATCAGCCTGCAAAGATGATAAGACACCAATAGTACGCGTCAACATCAGCCTACTCAAGTGACTGATGCAGCCTATTCGCTTGCTCGTATCTAGCTTATAAGCAATGGCTTATCAGCTCAACGAACAATATTTTTCTCTCACACTAAACTAACCAACAGTATTTTCAACCATAACTTATAACACAAACCAACCCAAACGAACAGGGCACAAGCAATGCCATCTCAACTCATGGTGCTGCTCTGCACAAGCTGTCACAACACACCAGCCCTCATAAAAATCGCAGACGACAACCCTTATCACAGCCGAATTGGATCACAGGAGCAGTAGTTCGCTTCGCTGAAAAGTCACGGCTCAAACTACTGTTCGCTGATTTGTCGTGAGAAAAAAATATTCTTTCGTTGAAACAGTACAGCATGGCTCGTAAGAAAAGTGAAATAAGACAAGTGAACAGGCCATAACAAGCAAGTCTGGATTCCCTTAGGTTAACATAACAGTAATGACAATACTAATGAATGGTCAGACTCAAGACAGTCAGACACATCACATGACACTGAGCGTTCAGAATAACTAACACACAGTAACAGAAACAAGCAAAGCAACAGGGTATTGCAATTCCTATTCCCTTGTGTTGTGCCACAAACGGAACAAGTACCCACAGCTACTACTAATAATAATTAACTCCAACCACGACACTGGTATTTGATGATTGACCATACTGACCTAGATAGAACAGCAAAGACGAATAATTTAGATGAAGCACGCCAAGGCAAATGATTAGTTTTTGATGACTGACGGATGATAAGCACAGCACGGCAAGGCATCTAGTCCTGGAGGTCTCCTTCCTCCTCGTCCTCGTACTCGCCCTCTTCGTCGGCGGTGGCGTCCTGGTACTGCTGGTACTCGGAGACGAGGTCGTTCATGTTGCTCTCGGCCTCGGTGAACTCCATCTCGTCCATGCCCTCCCCCGTGTACCAGTGCAAGAAGGCCTTCCTGCGGAACATGGCGGTGAACTGCTCGCTGACGCGCCGGAACATCTCCTGGATGGAGGTGGAGTTGCCGATGAAGGTGGAGGCCATCTTGAGGCCCGTGGGCGGGATGTCGCACACCGTAGACTTGACGTTGTTGGGGATCCACTCCACGAAGTAGGACGAGTTCTTGTTCTGCACGTTGAGCATCTGCTCGTCCACCTCCTTGGTGCTCATCTTGCCGCGGAACATGGCGGACGCCGTGAGGTAGCGGCCGTGGCGCGGGTCGGCGGCGCACATCATGTTCTTGGCGTCCCACATCTGCTGGGTGAGCTCCGGGACCGTCAGGGCGCGGTACTGCTGGGAGCCCCGGGAGGTGAGCGGCGCGAAGCCGACCATGAAGAAGTGCAGGCGCGGGAACGGGATGAGGTTGACGGCCAGCTTGCGGAGGTCGGAATTGAGCTGGCCCGGGAAGCGGAGGCAGCAGGTGACGCCGCTCATGGTGGCGGAGATGAGGTGGTTGAGGTCGCCGAAGCTGGGCGTCGTGAGCTTGAGCGTGCGGAAGCAGATGTCGTAGAGCGCCTCGTTGTCGAGCACCATGCACTCGTCGGCGTTCTCCACGAGCTGGTGCACGGAGAGCGTGGCGTTGTAGGGCTCCACCACGGTGTCGGAGACCTTGGGCGAGGGGAAGACGGAGAAGGTGAGCATCATCCGGTCGGGGTACTCCTCGCGGATCTTGGAGATGAGGAGCGTGCCCATGCCGGAGCCGGTGCCGCCGCCGAGGGAGTGGCACACCTGGAAGCCTGCCGCCCATGGCATCAGAAATGGAGTGAGTCGAGTGATTCAGATCCCAGTGCCTCGCAGATCTAACAATCAATCAAGCAAGCAGTGCAAACAAAACAACAGAACAGAACCGACCTTGCAGGCAGTCGCAGTTCTCGGCCTCCTTTCGCACGACGTCGAGCACGGAGTCGATGAGCTCGGCTCCCTCGGTGTAGTGTCCCTTTGCCCAGTTGTTTCCGGCCCCGGACTGGCCGAAGACGAAGTTGTCGGGGCGGAAGATGTGGCCGTAGGGCCCCGAGCGGACGGAGTCCATGGTGCCGGGCTCCAGGTCCATGAGCACGGCGCGGGGCACGAAGCGTCCGCAGGAGGCCTCGTTGTAGTAGACGTTGACGCGCTCGAGCTGGAGGTCGGAGTCGCCGCCGTAGCGGCCGGTGGCGTCGATGCCGTGCTCCGCGCACACCACCTCCCAGAACTTGGCCCCGATCTGGTTGCCGCACTGGCCGCCCTGGATGTGGAGGATCTCCCTCATGGCGGCCGGTTGGGAGTTGCTGCTCGGCTTGTGGGGGGATTCGGAGATTTGGGGGCGGCGGCGGCGGCGGCGGTGCGGAAGAGGAGGGAACAGATCTGGGAGTGAAGAAGAGGAGGGGGGCGTCAGTGGAGTGTTAGGGTTTGGTGGACCTTTGCCTTTGCCTTTGCCTTTGCCTTATACTGCTGCTAGTAACGGCAAGGGCGCAATGGGTGACGCCTGACGCCGTCCATTCCATCGGAGCCGCCCGCAGCAGAGGGCAGAGGCCAGAGGGGGGATTCGAATTTTGAAATTTTGGAGGAGCGGAGAACGGCGCGGCCACCAGCCAGCCTGGGGCAGTGTGCCTGCCAGCCTGCGCCACCCTGGTCCCCTCCAACGGTCGGGTCGGTGTTACTGTACATGGTTTGGGCTGGACCTGGATACTGCAATCGATTGGCCTCGCAGCGTCCAGTTTCTACCAACTGTTGAGTGGCCCGGCCTGGTGGCACTGGCCCACCAGCGCACAACTGCTTCCTCCTGGAGCTCCGGGATCTTGGATCTGGATCTTGTTTCCTTTCTTCATTGCGCTGGATCATGGCAACGACCTCTTTAGGGGGTGTTTGGTTCCAGGGACTATTTTTTAGTCCCTGTCACATCGGATGTTTGGACACTAATTTGGAGTATTAAATATATTTTAATTATAAAACTAATTACATAGATGGAGACTAATTTGCGAGACGAATCTATTAAGCCTAATTAGTGCATGATTTGACAATGTGGTGCTACAGTAAATATACTCTAATGATGGATTAATTAGGCTTAATAGATTCGTCTCGTAAATTAGTCTTCATCTGTGTAATTAGTTTTGTAATTAGAATATATTTAGTACTCCAAATTAGTGTCCAAACATCCGATGTGACAGGGACTAAAAATTAGTCCCTGGAACCAAACACCCCCTTAGTGGCAAAACCGATATTTCACACCTATATTCTCTCTCCTCATGGGAGAGAAATAAATATTTTAATGTGTTCGACGTCTTCGAACAAATTTGTCTTAACCTAGAGTGTCAGTCCACTAGCAAAGTGACTTTTTTTCGATGCTTTTTGGCAAAGCGACTTTCCCTTTCAATGTCTTGTAGCTAATTTTCCCTTTTAAAAAGATCTTAGGATGTTGTTTTTCATTTCCTAGGACACTGTTGACATAGCGTGACACTGAGGCGTGGCGAAGCATGCCAACCGTCTTAGTTGGCTTGAGTGCTCGAGGACCTGTGTGACCTAGGGTCTGTTTGGTTGGTGTCGTAGTTTGTCATTCCTCCATTAAACTATGGCTGCCACAGAAAATGTGGCGAACCAAATTAAAGTCGCACTTGTGGCAAAGTTTGGCACCAAAATAAGTCTATGACGTGTAGGACATGGTGTGAAGAAAGTGTGGCACGTCATAGTTATGACAGAAAACAAACATCTGCTAAAAAAATTATAGCATAACTAACTTTTGGTGTGGCAATATTTGGTAACGAACCAAAGAGGCCCCTGTTGTAATTTCGGGGTATGTTGTGCGGGCCGATCTTTTAACGTGTGTTTGGTTTTGGGATGATATGGAATGGGTTGGACCTGTCCTATTTTTAGGGTTAGGTTGAACCCATCTCATGTTTGGTTTGAGGGATAAAGCCATTCTAGTTTCTTGTTTGGTGTAAGGGATTGAGTGGGATGGGATGAATGGCCACCGTTAACTGTTGTTATCCATGGTACTAGCTGAGGAGGATCTCTTCTTCCCCATCGGCCCCATGGATCTCAGATGCAGCTCGTCAACCACGCCACCCCACCCAACACCATCCCACCCTGCCCTGTCCCGTGCTTGCCTTGGGCCGCATGGGGTCCGTCGTGGCCTAGGGTCGCTGATGACGACATCACTCCTTTGGATACACTCCTTGATCCTCCAACCGTTATGCAAGGTCCAATGACCCGAGCTCGAATGCGCCAACTAAATTTAGAGATGAACTCGTTCTTAAGCGATCATTTTCATACTTTTAATAATAGATTACTACCTAATGATGTTATCTTGCTTAGGAACATTGAAGAGGGTCATGAGGAACTTGGAGGAAGGGGTGGAGGCAGATAATACCAGCAAGGATGTCCAATACAAGCTGGAGCCCCAGTCCAACTCGACTTTGAGTCTGCCTCGGCCTTTAGGACCAATCTGCAATAAAAACGGACGCTCAGGACGTATCCGAACTCCGTTTTCGACGATCCATATATGGGTGGAAAGAAAATTTCATAAGCTAACCAATGACTTTGGTTTGAGGTCTAAATTTTACCGGAGCCAACGGGAATTGTCGAAACAAGTCAGCGTCCAAAATTTGTCATGTGCTGCGTCACCGCTTTTTGTTCGTCGGGTCATGTATCGTCTTTGAGCTCGTTAGGGGGGCGCATCCAGGGGAAGCGACGACCCTTAGACCTTATAATCAGTCATTGCCGCTATCGTTAGATTTTAGGTTTTGCTTAGAACAATATGCCTTCGAAAGTCGTCGTCTTTCGGTTTGTTTGTTTTTCTCGAACGTGCACTGTAGCACGTATTTCATTAAGAGGAAATAGAGAACATCCAAACAAACAACGCCAGCGTCGACCGAAGGTAACCAAAGGTTGCCCCGTCGAGCTGCACAAACATAAAACAGAGCGACAAACGAAAAACCAAAGGAAGCCGACAGCGACCACACAAGAGACTAATTACATGAATGAACTAAGCGACGACAAGGTCGAATACCCGGCCCGCAACCACATGGCGGCCTCCTATAGGATCTCCAAACACAAATCGTGAGCGTCCTTGGCTTCATTCCTGAAAGTCCGTGCGTTGCGTTCCTTCCAAAGCAAGTCCCCGCAAAGGAGTCAGGGACCCAGCAGCGAGGAGCGGAGAGCCACGAGCTCGTTAAGAAAAGCCTGCTGGGCATTAGCATCCAGCGGCCTGTAAACGACAGTGATCCACCAGGCCAGCCTAGGATCAGAGCGATTGGCGATTTTAGCAGTTACCGAGTGTGACTGCAGAGATACATGCGATGTCGACCAGGCGTATGTCCTCCAGCCGAGGAGAACTCCACTGTCGGTATTCACAACAGGCAACAAGACATACTCAAATGATGTTTCTAGACATTCAGAAGCAAGTTTGTTGCAGACATTGGAGAGCTGTTAGTCTCCTGCAAGCAAACAAGCAACACCCTCTCCTGGACGATCAAGTCCCTTACGACGTTGCGCCGCGCGCGACCATTTAGGCCACGGACATCCTGGACCACGTGCTGGGCGACCCCTCCGTCCCCGCCGCAGCCGCAGAAGCACTCCTCGCCGCACTCCCCTCTCCCTTCCGCCCCACCCCGCGCAGTCCTCCTCCGCAGCCTCGCCGCCGACCCGGTCTCCGCATCCTCTCCTGAAACCCTCCACCTCCTGGCCTCGCTCCCCGCCACCGCCTCCGCCTCCCCCATCGCCGTCACGGAATTCCTCGCGGCCTCCGCGCTCGACTTCGATGCCACTGCTAGGGAGCTCTTCGCGCGCCCCAATGGCCACGCGCGCCGCGCGGTCGACGAGGGAGGTCCCCCCGCGCTCGCCTCCGATGTTGTCATCGCCACAGCGGACCAGTTCGAGGCCGCCGTCGAGAACTCCTCCTCCCAGACCATCCTCAGGGGCCTGTGGGGCAACCGGGCCGCCGCGGAGGAGCGGGTCAGTGACCTCCTTGCCGCCGAATGGGCCGTCGAAGCTCGTGACGGCGGCTGAGCGGATCGTCGGGGATGGGGCCGTCGAGACATGGTGTGCCGCGGATGAGGCCACTCATGCCAACTTCTGCATCTTGGGTAAGGACCTTTTTGTGTGTGTGTGTGGCAGTGCAGGGCATTGTGGTTTGATGAGTAAAATTTGTTGGTAGCCCCTGAATTGGATGCGTTTCGATGCTACAATTTTGCTCATGCCATTTCTCTCTATCCCGGATCCAGATGGAGCAGAGTTACTCCGTAGTGTAGAATAAACGCAGATGCAACTCAAGTTTATATACAAGCAATGTAAACTGTCATACATTGTATTTTGCAGCAGCATTGTGATTTGAGTAGATTGCTCTATCCATGGTGCAAGTGCAATTCAAGGAACTAGTGTGCAGTGGGGCTTTTCTGTATTTTTTGTGATATAATAAAAAATGGGAACATTGAGTCGGAATTTATCTTGGTCTAGAAATCTGTTTGCCTTATAATGTGCTCTCTGAAACAACCATGAGTTGAAGCTATCCCAAACAGACTTTGTAATTGGAGTGTACTCTGTCCTTGCTAACTTTGCTGCTTCTAGTTTCTTGTTTATCATAGATCTTGTGAATACTTTTGATGGTGCCACAAAAATATTTTAATGGCTTTATACCACTCGCACCAGTTATTTTAGTATCTTTTTGTTTGTCTGCATCTCTGTTTCTTATTGATTTTGCAATTCTCCCTTCGCCAGACCCCGCACAGAGCGAGAGCTCTCAGCACTGGGTACGCCCTTTATGCACTCCATGTAGAGCAGTTTGGGTTTCATCTCTTCGGGCCAGCTCTAGGTCTTTATGTGCATTGTTAGATGCTAGATGTTTTATTTTTCTAATTTGCTATGGATTCTGTTGTTCACAAGTTCATGGACTTCGTAGCCTATAATTGATTATATGAAATCAAACTTACAGCTGGGGACGAAAAAACACGTGAGATTCTCGCCAAACTAGAACCTTCCTCCAGCGCAAATCCAATTTCAACACCAGCTGTTGAGAAGGCGATTGACGCACTCAAAACAAGCTGTGCTGACCTCCACAGTGTTGTGGATGATCCGCTTCCAGCTGCGAAGGCAGTTGCAGATGAGGTATTGGCTGCAAGGATGGATAAAGGAGTTAGCTTGAATGCTGAAGAAGTAGGAGGTCAGCCAACAACTTGTGGTGCTGCAGGCCCGAGTACTCTTAATGATAAAGACCATGGTCCAAGTAGAGGCAAACCTCATAACCTTATGGATCGGAACCCAACAGCACGGACCCCTCAAGTTTGCATTTCTTTTTAAAATATTTTTCTTTGCTTTTGAACATTGTCCATGCTAAACTTGCTTTGGTTGTTAAATTGAATTTGTTGATTGTAATAGCTAGCTTTTGTCTCCATTGCGATTTAGAATGATATCAGCACCTATATCATGCCAATATTTTGCATTAAACATTGGGTGTGTACTTTTTGTATTGCTCTGTTGATTGAGTTTTCAGTGTGAATTGTTCTCTACATTGCCAAGTTTCTGCTCCTGCCCACATTTCCCGTGTTTTCTTCAAAATCGGGATGATATGTCTTACGAAATATTTTGAGGACATATGTGCTCTTGGTAGGATGCTTTGACCATGACAAGAAATAATCAAATTTGGTCACAAAACCTAATAGTTGTAGGATTTTGTTTCACTTTAGTAAGTTAGCTACTGAAATTAGGACTTTGGATTATGAATGCTCTACTACAGTCCCTCTTCGTGTGACACTTAAAATTAAACTTACTATAGTCTAATTTGAGCTCAATCAAGATACCTCATACCATTTTAGGTAGCTTATAGGATAGCTCAGTATCATAACTGCAAAATTTTCGATTTTGGTCATGTTTCTAAAAATAAAACACTTGTTTGCAGTGGGAGGATTCACCTGATCTTGAGGGGTCAGAATCATCATTACGCAGACCACGCTTGCCTAGCCCAAGGAGAATGCCACCTTCTCCTTTGCCACCGCCAGAAAACAAAAATAAGCGTAGAAGGGCAAGGAAGTGGAGCTTGTTAGAAGATGAAACACTGAGTAAGGGTGTTCAACAGTATGTTATTTTGTCTTGATGTTCAGATATTATTGTTTGACATCTCAGCTTTCTTGTTCTAAAACGCTGGTGTTTAAATTGCTATTGCTGTATGTTCCTCATCATAATATTGTGCTTGTTTCATGTGTAGGTATGGTATAGGCAATTGGAGGGATATTTTAACTAACAATCTTGACGTTTTTATCGGCAGAACAACGGTGAGCATTTGGTTATTACAGTGAAGTTGCTGTGGTTTTTTTAAGCCTGTGAAGTTGCTGTGGTTGCAAATCAATGTAGTGACTGGTTGTATGTATTGTAGGTGGACTTGAAGGATAAGTGGAGGAATATGCATCCGTTTGGCTGCCTGTAAGCGCAGCTGCTGTTGGCTGTTAGCACAGTATTTCTGTGAGAGCCGGCTGCTGCTGCAGCAGCCAAAGCGGCTGTGAAAACCAGCTGTTCGGCCCTGTTCATTTTGCCCCCAAACCATGGGGATTGGGGAGGATTGGAGGGGATTTAGGGCCCGTTCGTTTCGAGGGGAACTGTGGCCTGGAATCATTCATACCCGGTTTGCTTGCATAATTTGTATAAGTTTTGATCACCTGGATTGATTTCAGGAGGAATACTGAGTAACCGAATAAGGCCTTAGGGCTCGTTCGTTTCCTCCGGAACGATCGCCGGGAAGAATTACGGCTGGAATCGTTAGTCAATTTACATAAGCTTTTATTAACCGGAACAATTCCTGGTGTCAAACTGCCTCAAACGAACGGCCCCTTAGGAGTGATAACGGAACCATGTATACCGGTGTCCGCACTGCATGTAAGACCGCAAGGTCAGCACGCGCACTCGCACACCACGCACGTCCGCGCACGACGCGCACGCCGCGCCTCCGCCTTAGCCGCTACGCCGCAGGCCATGATCGCGCGTAGAGCAGTTTTGTAGGAGAGGTTGCTGAGTCTGTACATGTATAAGTATGAACTCTTGAGATCAATACAATTCGAGGTTCATCTAATCCTGCTTTATGGTATCAACTCGGGCTTGATCCCCTGTCGCCCAGTGCTCACCTCCTCTTCCGCTACCCGCCATGGATGTCAATCCCTTGTTCGAGTTCGAGCAGTCCGACCATGGTGGTTCCCCTGCTTCCTCCTCCTCCGGTGCTTCCTTCACTGCGCCGGTCCATCCCTCCGGCGCCGACGCGCCACCACCACCCCCACCCCATGCTCCCGTCTCCCTCCAAACGGTTAACATCAAGTCCCACGTCTCGGCGATCCTCGACATCATCAATCCGAACTACCCCGAGTGGCGGTGCTTCTTCGACTCCGTCGTCGGCAAGTTCGGCCTCCAGTCTCACCTCGCCGCCGCGCCCACCGACGCCAACCGAGCCGATCGGGACTGGGTCATGACCGACCAGTGCCTGGTTAATTGGATGTACAACACGGTGTCGCGCGATGTCCTCCGCATCGTGCGCGTTCCCGGCGCCACCGCCTTCACCATCTGGGCCGCCATCATCGACCTCTTCTGCGACCACCAGATGCACCGCGCCGTGTACCTGGAGGCCGAATACCGCAGCCTGTACCAAGGGGACCTCAGCATCACCGACTACACCGCCAAGCTGAAGGAGCTCGTCGACGCGCTGCGCGATCTCGGCCAGACGGTGTCTGAACCGTCCCAGGTCCTGAACATGCTGCGCGGGTTGAACGGGAAGTACCGCCACACCATCTCCACCATCACCTCCAAACAACCACCCCACACCTTCCTCTCGGTGCGCTCCTTCCTGATGTTGGAGGAGCTCTACGAGAGCCAACACGGCAAGCTGGCGGCGCAGCACGCCATGGTCGCCCAAGGCGGCGCCCGCTCCACCAACCCCGGTGCATCCTCTTCTGCCGTCCCTCCCTCCAGCGGCACTCACGGTGGTCCTCCTCCGGGCGGTGGCAACACTGGCCACCAGAATGGCTACGGCGAAGAACTCGCGGAATCATGCGGCCGCGCTGGTCATGGTCAGCGGCAATGGCGAAACGAGTGGCGCACCCGCCACCAACATCGGGTCCACCCTTTCTACGGCTCGCGCTCCCAACTTCCCCAACACTCCGTGGGCCGCCGACTACAACCCGTGGCAGTGCATGGTCCAGGCGTGGCCCTATGCCCTTCCGCGCGCCAGCGTCCGGTGTGCTCGGTCCTCGTCCCCAACGTCGAACCAAAGAAGCTTTAAATCGCCAGCGCCGCCGCTTCCCGCGTCGTCAGACAAAGACCGCCCATTGGATCCTACATCGGCTACCCTGGAACGCCGCCCACGTACGAGCCGAACGCCCTGCTTGCTGCTCTCGCGAGCGCTGGCGTTCCACCGGCTGGCACCGGGAACTCCGATTGGTTCCTGGACACTGGAGCTTCGTCGCACATGGCCTCTGCACCTGGTAACCTCCATACTGTCCACCCTCTCGCCCCTTCCAGTTCGGTCATCGTGGGCAACGGCGCCTCCATGCCAGTTACCCATCTGGGCCGCTTCTTCCATTCCCACTAATTCCTCTTCCCTTGCTCTTCACAATGTTCTTGTCACACCTTCCTTGATCAAAAATCTTATTTCGGTTCGCTCGCTAACTCGTGACAATGTTGTGTCTGTTGAATTCGATCCGAATGGGTTCTCCATAAAGGATCTTCATACCCACCAGGTGAAGCTCCGATGTGATAGCCAGGGCGATCTCTACCCACTGCAGCCGCCGGCACACCAAGCTCTCCACGCCACCACTGCCTCAGTCGACCTCTGGCACCAGCGTCTGGGACACCCGGGCCACGACCAGCTTGCCGCCGCGCTGCGTTCCTTTCCGTTTAGCTGTACAAAGTCCGCAGCTCACACTTGCCATGCCTGCCAGCTAGGGAAGCATGTGCGGCTGCCCTTTAGTTCATCATCATCTGTTAGCTATTTCCCTTTTCAATTGCTTCATTCATACGTATGGACGTCTCCTGTACCCAGCATTTCAGGCAACAAATTTTATTTGGTGATAATCGATGACTATTCTCACTATGTCTGGACTTTTCCCCTCATGAACAAATCTGATGTCGTTCCTACATTTCTATCATTTTGTTCATATGTCTCTCGCCAATTCCAATTGCCTATTCTTAGCTTCCAGACTGACAATGGACGCGAATTCGATAACTTCACCCTCCGCAAATACTTCCAGGACAACGACATCGCTTTCCGCCTCTCTTGCCCGTATACCTCTGCACAAAACGGTAAGGCGGAGCGCGCACTGCGAACGCTCAATGACGGTGTCCGCGCCATGCTCTTGCACGCGCACGCACCGCCTGCGTTCTGGGCGGAGGCCCTGGCCACATTCACCTATCTTCTAAACCGGCGCCCTTGTCGTGCCACTAGCACCACCACGCCCCATGAACTCCTCTTCGGCACGCCTCCGAGCTATGCACACCTCCGTGTATTTGGCTGCCTATGCTACCCCAACTAGTCTGCCACCGCTCCCACCAAGCTCAGCGCGCGTTCTGTCGCGTGCGTGTTCTTGGGTTACCCCGCAGACCACAAGGGCTACCGGTGCTACAATCTGGAAACCAGGAAAGTTATCACTTCTCGCCGTGTGGTGTTCGACGAGCTACAATTCCCGTTTCAGCAGCTGTCTCGTTCTCCAGCGTGCTCCCCGAATGCTGGCGATGCAGCTCTGCCTGAAGACGACCCGATGATCACGCCTGGGTTCCAAGCTGCACAACGATGAAGGCGGCCTCCCGCCTCTCCTTCACGCTCGGCACAGGCCTCTTCTTCGGCTGTAGCTACAACCCCCTCAGTGCAGGTGCCACAGGCGTCGCCGTCGTCAACGGCGCCCACGGGACAGCCAGCCTCGCCGCACCACTACGGCGCGACACCGCCGTCTAACTCGCCGCGCGGTGCTTCTCCGAACGCATCCCCATCCACGACGACTTCCCCGACGCCGGAACGGCAAGCTGTTCCCCAGCGCCACCACATGGTGACATGAGCACGCGATGGCATCTACAAACCCAACCCGCGGTACGCCATGGCTACAACTACCAGCGACGTCGCCGCCATCTCGCCACTCCCCAGCTCCGCTCGCGCAGCTCTGCGTGACCCGAACTGGCGTGAGGCCATGCAGCGCGAGTTTGACGCGCTCCAGTCCAACCACACTTGGCGGCTGGTACCCCAGCCACCAAAGGCGAACGTGGTCACCGGCAAGTGGGTCTTCAAACACAAACTTCACCCCGACGACAGCCTCGAGCGGTACAAGGCTCGGTGGGTCGTCCGCGGTTTCACCCAGCGCCCCAGCGTCGACTTCGGCTAGACGTTCACGCCCGTGGTCAAGCCAGCCACGATACGCACCGTCCTCACCCTTGTCGCAGGACGCCGGTGGCCGACGCGACAACTCGACGTCAGCAACGCCTTCCTCCACGGCAACCTCGACGAACGAGTCCTGTGTCAACAGCCGATCGGCTTCGTCGACGCGACACAGCCCGACGCCGTCTGCCTCCTCTCCAAGTCCCTGTACGGCCTCCGCCAGGCACGACGGGCGTGGTTCACAAGGATCGCGGGCTTCCTCCACTCCATCGGGTTCGTCGCGACATGTTCAGACTCTTCACTGTTCGTGCTCCGCCGCGGCTCGGACACAGCGTACCTCCTCCTCTACGTCGATGATATGGTGCTAAGTGCGTCCTCCGAAGCGCTTCTCCAGGACATCGTGACTCGCCTCCGGTCCGAGTTCGCCGTGAAGGACATGGGACCTCTCCACTACTTCCTTGGCGTCGACGTCCAGCGCCGCGACCATGGCTTCTTCCTGTCCCAGGCAAAGTATGCCGAAGAGCTTCTCGACCGCGCCGGGATGACGAACTGCAAGCCGGCGCTGACCCCGATCGACACCAAGGCAAAGCTACCATCGACAACAGGCGCAGTTGTCCGTGATCCCGGCGAGTACAGGAGCATCGCTGGCGCGCTTCAATACTTGACCATCACTCGCCCAGACATCTCCTACGCGGTTCAGCAAGCATGTCTGCATATGCATGACCCGCGGGAGTGTCATCTCGCCGTGGTCAAACACATACTCCGCTATGTGCGTGGTACGACATCGTTCGGCCTCCATCTACATGGCACCGGCGTCCCCAAGATCATCGCCTACTCGGACGCCGACTGGGCCGTCTGCCCGGACACGCGGCGGTCGACCTCCGGATACTGCATCTTCCTCGGCGACGCTCTCGTGTCCTGGTCCTCGAAGCGACAGGCCACCGTTTCCCGATCAAGCGCGGAGGGGTGATTCGGCGACGTGATGACCAAAGGGTTGCTGACGAACACGTTCACCGGCTTTCGATCCAGTCTCACCGTCGGACCATCCGACGCTGTCACTGCGGGGGGGTGATAACAGAACC